CCTGGGCAGCAATGCTTGTTCTGTGTTAGGAGAAATGTTTATTTAATTTGTGGGGTCTCTGTTGATCTTGATTTAATGCAGCCTGTGGTGAGCTGCTCATAGGAATGCAGTCTTATGTTTATTTTGTTAAACCTTTTCATAACTGGTTCTTGTTCTCATTTTGGTGGTGCTGTTGTGGGTGGGTGGCTATGCCTTGTCAAAGCTCCTTGTGCCCTGCTCCTTCCTTTGGTGCTGATGCCGGTGTGTGGTTTATCAGGAGAGCTGTCTGGATTTTTTTTTCTTTCCTGGGTCTGCAGCATTTATCCAGAGGCCAGGAGGAGAGAGGTTGATTTTGATCCAGCTGAGTTTCCCAGAAGGGAATTTGAGCAGCTGGAGATGACTGAAGTCCCATCAAAGACTGTGCCTGCCCCACCTGGAATTGGGCTCCATGATTGGGGCTCATGCTCTCGATTTAAAGGCTGTCCCAGCTATGAGGAGCTTCATGGATGAAGTGGGGAGAGGGAAGGAGAAGGAAAACTTACCCTCTCATATAGGACAGCGGTACTGCTGCACTGAGTGCCTGTCTTTGAGGAGGCCATGACTTCACCAAGTCATTTTAGTAGGAGAGAGATGCTGTGCAGGTGAGCTCTTAGTTTGGATCAAGCTAGTCCATTAGCTGTGATCCTTCATTTCTGAATTCAACTGCAGCTTCCAGTGAATCCTTTTTGCTTCGACAGGGGGCTGTGCTGTGTGATGTGAAAGCTCCTAGACCAGGGTGAGCACTGGCTTTGCACGGATAAAGGCATGGAAGGAGGCGATAGCATGTGGTGTGCTTAGTCTGGACCAGCGCATCTGTCATTTCTGTTGTTGCCGAGTCCTGTGTCCTTGTCACTGCAGTGTCTGACCCCTCGCTGCCTTTAATGGGTGTGCTGCCAGGGCAGTTCCCTGTTGCCTGCTGGGTAGGGTAGGATGGAAGCACCTTCTCTAAAGCCACATGCAGACTGGTGCTCTGTTCACTGCTGTGCTCTTTGCTCTGTAATAGTTAGGGATTTATAAAAAAAGAAAAAAGAAGGAAGCATATTTTAGGGACAGGATACATCAGCGGCTAACTGTGAATTTGGGTACTGCTTTCTCTTTTGCCACAGATTCAGAGTACTACCTTGGAGAAGCAGTAAAATGTCTGTCTCTGACCCTGTCCCTTACAATCAAATAGGGACAGCAGCACTTCCAGGGTTTTGCCACTTGTATGCAATGGCAGCTGTTGCAGAAGTTATGATCTGATGTAGTAAATTCTCTCCTCCGGGGTGCTTCATTTTCCTTTTTCATTTTGTGTTGACTTTCTCAAGGATGGGGGTAGCTTCCTTTTCCATGCTTTGAGCTCTTCTCTGTAAGGCAACGCAAGCACTTGTTGGTTCATCTCATCCTTTGAGAGCAGCTGATGTTTATGAAGGCTATTTTCTAAGGGTAGTAGTTCTTTTAAAGGACATGAAACACATTGTGTTGGCCTGACACCCTTCCCCTGAACTGTCCCGCTCACTTTGTTAGCATCTAAATGTGTTCATGACCTGAGCAGCTGTTGTCTTTTTGATGCCGTCCCTCAGAAACTTACAGTGAAGACTCACTGTGCCCCACTCTGGTTCTTCAAAACTAATGGAGAGCTTGAAGGAAATAGCTTGGATACTGAAGTGATAAGTGCTACAGAAATGCCAGACGCTATATAAACAACTAAACTCAGCCCCCGGCCCTTCCTGAAAGAGGGATGATTTGCCGAAATACTTCAACAGATGGTCTGAATTTAGCTTTGGAAAGGGGGGAAGAAATGCCAGGCTGCTGCTGAGCGGTGTGTGGGCGCATGCCCGAGTGCCGTGCGGTGCGCTGCCTGCCAGCACGCTCCTGGGGAGGCTGAGCAGGCTGCTCCTGCAGCCTCTATGTGCTCGGGAGGCATCTGCGTGCTGCTGACTCAGTCTCTGTGGCTCTGCCAGGTCCCTGGAGTGGAGCGAGCTCCCGCTTCCCCTGCGGTGAGGTCTGGCTGTGCCCGTTTGCTGGACTGTTCTGGTGGAGGTGAGCCGTGGCCAGTTTGCAGGGGCAGGGGGTCAGCTTGTGGGGGAGAGGCTGCGGAGGTGCTGTGCAGCTTGTGAGACGTTGCCTGGCACGTGGGTGAGATTGTGGGAAGGCCGTGATGTGATCTGACTCCAGGTTGTCGCTCACACTGGTGCAGTTACCTGGACCTGTGGCAGTGCAGATTGAGGTGGTCTGGAGCTGGAAGCAAACACATCAGCCATAGCAAAGGGCATGTACTGGACACACCTGTGTGTATACGTGAGCTGACAAACTTGTGGTAGCCTGAAAGGCCATAGGATGTGAGAGGGTTTACATGTCATGGTCAGGGACCCTGATGAACTCTGGCAGAGCTGGCTGATGTGGCCAACCTCCCTTCTCCCTTTTAATGCTCTTGCAGGGGAAAGAGAACATGGTTTCCCCAGCTGGTACCAGACCTGGGGTCCTGACGCCAACCGTGGCAGCAGCAGAGTGCTGTACCACCTCTTGTGTGGGCTCTGCCATGGGGCAGGCAGGTTCCCAGGTCAGTAGCTACACCTGGCTCCAATGGGGATCGTGGATTGGGGCCCAGAAGTCCTTGTCCAAGGACTTCTGGAGCAGAGCAGCATGTCTGGTTTCCTGCATTGCCAAACTGTTGTTAGTCTCCCAATGTGCCTGTTACACTGCTCGCTGGCGTGAGAATTCATCGTGTCTAATGCTATTTGCCGTTCCTGCCTTGCACTCTTTGGTGAGACAGTGTTGGTTGGTCATTAAGAGCAGGGCTGTGAAGTGTGCTTCAGGGGTGATTATTTTTTTTTTCGGAAACTTTCTGAAAACAGGTCTAATCTTTAATGCAAGATGAATCGCTTTACTGAGGATGCTTAATGTGTCAGGTAAATTCTTGTGGATACATCTGGCAGGTAGCAGCATTGCACTGCGCATGCGGAGTAGCCAGGTAAGACATTTAATGTCCAGAGAATGACTTTTGAAGTTCAACTTACTGCATTTTTCCCCCCTCGCTCTTTTTACTTTCTTGGGTTACCCATCTCCTTTTGCTCTGTTTAGGTGAGCAGGACTGCATGTTTTTTCATTTGCCTATAGCCTCCTAAATATGTTGTCTCTCTGCTGGGAATGCTTTGCTTGCTTTGCAGCCTGCTGATTCACAGCACCCTGGGTAAGCAGGGAGCTCGTGGATGGATTACGCCACAGGCTCCCGAGCCATCAGGCAGTGGTTGCAGTCCCCTTGATAATTCCCCCGCTTGTCACAGAACACATATGAGTTTCTCTGGAGGAGCTGCTAACCTCTTCAGGAGCAATGTGACCCATGTGGGGCTGCTGACGTGCATTTAGCAAGGAAGTTTTGCTGTAATCTGAACAGCTTTGGCGTAAGCAAACAGCTGAGGTGGGAGGAGAGAAATGCAGTTTGTGATGCGGGAGCAGAGCAGGTACGTTCATGTACACCCACAGCAAAGGGACTGGCAGCAGCAGTGTCCTGTATCACCATTCCTGTGGCTGAGAGGCAAGGAATATTGATCAACATGACATTTAACTGGCTTTTCTTCTAGTGTACTGGGAGCGTTAGTCAGATTCTGCCTTCCACAGTGGGAAGTAATGAGATAAGCTACCTTCCTCGGAAAGGTCTCTACCTGCTGTTGCAAAGTGTTTGGGAGGCTGGGAGATGTCCTTTTGTTATCCTGTCTACTCTCTGTGTCTGGTCTCTTGTACAAAAGGCACCTGAAATACAGGCTTGGCTCTAGCGAGCAGCTGAGCTTGCAGCCTGTACTCCAGTGTTTGCATGCTTGTGTGGTGGGTCCTGCTTGATGCTTCTCTGTCGCCTTGCCTTAGGTGGAGCCCAGCTCCTAACTCCAGAGGGTGACACAGGAGGGTTTATGTCCTTTCAGACCCTGGGGTCCTGTTTCATTAACCTACAGTATTTTAGCATTGGCACCCATGTTGGTTGCTGGCTCTCTCAGGCCACTGTGACTTTGCTACAGGGGCACGGTGTGGGGTTTGCTGGATGCATTGCTGTTCCAGCCAGGCTCACACAATCCTTCTTCAGGACTCCAAGTAACAGCTATCAATTGATGTATAGCCCTGCAAGGCTCTGGATTTCTAGGCCTTTTAAAGCATTTTGTTCAGGGCCCAACAGACCTTATCTCCCAGGCTTCCTTGTAGGGATTTGTGTTCTATTTTATTGTTGTTTATTGGTTGTTTTTCCAGTGCCCACAGCAGTCAGGCTGCTGCTGAGAGGGGCAGCCTTGCTTCTCACTCCTGCCTCTTTCTTTTTTGTGCTGGCAGAAGTGTTTGTGTGTTCACAGCTACGCACTGACCTGGGAGTAGGCCTGGTCTGAAATGAGTTCCTCTAGTTGTCGGGGAAAGGAAGAGCTCCCTCCTCTTTGGCAGTAGCCTGAAGTTATGCTGGACTAGAGGTTGAGTAACCACAGCCTCTGCTGGGAAGGAGAATCACGTGGCTTGAGAGATGTACTTTCCAGGGGCTAAAAATCCCTACTATGCTTTCCTTCATGAAAATATTTGCATCTTCTCTGCCAGCACACTGTCAAGACTGCATTGAGCCTGTACCAGTGACTCTTTGTGCAGGACAAACTGCATCGTACCACCCTTCCACAGCCCTGGGTCTCGCCTGCTGCCTCATTGTAGATTCTGCTTTTGAGGGTGAAAGTCAGTGTCATGTCTTTAAAATGCCCTGCAATTCACATGGCATAGTCCTTGCTGCCAGAGAAAGGTGGTTGCTTTTCAGGCCTCCTGGGTATGGCCCTGTGTACCGCCAGATGCATGCAGTGTAGGAAGAAGTGGAAACAGGGGAAAAAAAAAACCCTCATGCTTTTGCTTTGCTCTGGCACAGTCCCCTAGTGTTCACAGGAACAAGCACATGCTTCAGAAAGCGCTGGGTGAGCACGTGTCCTTGGACATGCAAAGAAATACGACTTCCTCTCCTCTTCCTCTTCCTCTCCCTCCCTTGCATGCCAGGAGGTGGTGGCAGTGCCTAGCAGATACCCTTAGTGTGAGCACAGCTGATGCCAAGGAAGGCTTCTCTGCAGAGGTGAGGGATCTGTTACACTTGGGCTGGGGAGACAGGAGGGTCCTCTCCAAGGGTATCTGAACCTTGCTGGGATTGTGTGTCTCTTTTCTGCTGTCCTTTTGCTTCTCCCTGACACAGTCTGTCCCTTCCCCTTCCCGTTTATGAAGGCTCTGTTCCTATTTTGATGTGGGAGGTGAACCCTGTCCTGCTGTGAGTACAGCTTCCGTGCGCTGCCTCTCCAGCCGAGCTGTCCCTGGCTGATTTTGGGAACGTGGAGGAGACAGGTCTGCGTCAGGAGCACCACATGGCAGGATGCTGGGTGACTTGCAGACCCTGGTGCTGCTCTGTAGCTGGAGGCTGCCGGTGCCACATGGTCCCTGCGGGAAAGGGACCCCTGCAGGGTCTTAGGCTCACGGTCCCAAAGCAGCAGGGTGTCATCCCTAGGCTTGCAATGTGCCCTGGGTCATGGAGGTAGGAGGGGACAAACCAGCTGGCCCTTTGGAGAGGGGATCCCGTGTCTATCATTGCACCAAGGGCTGGGTGAACAAGCAAGGCTTTTTGCATGTTAACCAGGCAGCTGGGTTGAGTGAGCTGTAGGGTGCAAGCCACAGTGGTCCTATGCTTCTCCTCTGAAAGCCTTGTCAAGGCAAGTACTTTCCGCTCTCATACAGCTATTATGAAAGAGCCTGGGTTTGCTGCGCCCTTCTCTCCCTTTGCCCTCAGGGCACGCTGGGCTTGTTTGAATTAATGTAATTAGCACATGCCTTATTAGCTCACTAAGGCATAAAGAACTCATGTATATTTGTAGCCAGGTTAAGCAGCCCTTATTAATTTAATAACCGTGTCCTCAGTGCACGGCAACAGTTAATCGCTGGTGGTGACTCAGGATCAGCCAGTATGGAGGGAATCTGGGCAAGGTGTATATGTGTGCGGTTCTCTTTTATTGTGTTGTATTTTTATTAATGAGCAGAGCTGTGAAGGGAATTAGCAGCAGGCGCAGTAGACAGAAGGAAGCTTTCAGTGCAGGTCTGCTAAACAGCCAGCCCTGGATTTTTCCTATGCTCTACGCTGCCTGTAGAAAAGGATCTATAGAATGAATCAGTGTGATATGGCATAGACCGGGAGGCAGAATTACACAGAAATAAACTTCAGCAACCCGTGCTTGAACTCTGCTCCAATCGGGTTATGAACTAGGTACTGATAATAATTTTGCTTCGTTGTCTACCCTGTTTCCCCTCGGTGAATCCTGGGGCAGAGGAAGTGGCTGGTGTATTCTGGCGCTGCTTATAGCTGAGGCTGCAAAAGGGCAAGGTGTTTGTGAAAGGACAAGAAGTAGTTGCAAGTGTTTTCATTCTCTGCAGCGCTATGGTCCTCAGTGCCTTTTGCTGGTCTGGGTCTTGCTACGCACAGAGCTTAGCTAGGTCCCCTCGGATGTTGCCAGGGTGCTTGCCACCAGGTTGGTTTTTTGGCTTTTGGTTTTTTTTTTTTTTTTTCAGAAGATGCAGATTATGGGGGTGAATTCCAGCTCATGCTTCACCACCCTGGAATGATGCAGTCTGTGAGTCCAGGACAGTGGCACGTGTCTCTTTTTCCTGTAGTCCTGCACGTGGAATAGTAAGGTCCTGCAGTGCTTCTAAAACCAGTGACTTAAGCATTTTTGGGGGCTCCTTTCAGCCAGTATCATTACATGTGCAAAGGAGGCTTCCCGCATTTCTTCTCTACCTTCCCACAATATTCACAGGTCATGCTCTTTGCGGTCAATGTGAGCTGGAAGGAGGAGCAGAAAGAGTGGTGCTGGAAAGCAGTTGATATGCTGTGTCTTGGTCAAGTTTTCTGTAAGCAGCTATCGGAGTGAGATGCAGGTATCTTGCCTGCTCCGCCTCCCTCTTTTTACTTTTCTCATTTGCTGTTTCTCCCCCTTGCCAAGTAAGCTTGGGCTGTCAAGGCCTGAACTGTTCCCGGTCATCATGAACTTGTGCAGGAGCATCATTGAGAAGATGAGGCTGTTACAGGCAAACGAGCAAGGAAACCCCATGAAATTGGACAGAAGTGTGTATGCTCTTGTAATAATGTGCCCTGTCGCTGCAGCTGGCGGGGGACCTAGTCCCCAGGCTCCAGCAGAGAGCTCATCTGGCTTGCATCTGCTGAGGACCTGGACCTCCTGGGAGGCATGGTAGGAAAAGAAGTATCTGTGAGATCTCCATGGAGTGACAGGGGATGCACATGAATCTGTCTGCAGCAGGTTGGAGCAGATCAATTCATTTCTCCTTCCTTAGGGCCTGTGCCTGGGACAGCTCAATGCTTGGATGAAGGTACCCAAGTGGTTAGTGGGGTGAGGATCTGTGATGGTATACATTGTACTGGTGGTATGGAGGTACCCATGTGCAGCTCCTAATGGGTGCATTGTAGAGGAAAAAAATAATAATAAATGCAGAAGTCTGCGGGAAGCAAAATGATTGCTGGGTACCTCAAATGCTGGCCAGAGGTGGTGATTTCTGCTCTCTCTCTCTCCCCCCCCCCTTTTTTTTTTCTTCCTTTTCTCTGTTTCAGGGGCAGGAAGGGGCAGTGCTTGGCTCGGTGGGTAGGAGGCTTTCTGTGCAGAGCAGCCTGCTGGCTCATAGCTGTGGGCCTCTTGGTACACACTGGGACAGGGAGCATTTTCCAGGCCAGCTTTTCTAGCCAGTCAGGAATTTTTTCCCCTTCTCTCTTCCCTCTGACTGTTCGCTGGGTTGGATGAGTTTGGAGAAGGAAGGAGCAGCCTTGACCTGGTGGGATTTAACCCAACAGCTCCATTGGTCTTCCCACATGCTGTGCTGTGGTAGCAGCCATGTGTTAGAGCCGGCTCAGCAGGCCCCTTGCTGGCTGCTGGGTTGGAAGGGACGGAGTTAATTTATAGCCCTGGAGTAGCTGAAGTTGGGGCTATTTCTGGCACATGTCTTGTTCAACATCTGCCTGACGGAACCCAATGTAGGGGAAACAAACTTGATTTGTGGGTTGTTTTTCTTTCTTCTTAAAAGAAGGACAGTCTATTTTCCCTCTCTTTCAAGGAGAAAAAGCCTTTTGTAGGACTGTGTGCAGTGTTCTGAGAAAAAACATACTCATCTTGTGACATGAAGGTGGGGGTCATCCATAACAGCTGGTCCTTGGCGCAGCTGCCACCAAGTTGCCTGACCTGCGAGCCATCATCAGGGTCCTAAAAGCCTTGAATTGCATCATGTCCATCCTGTGTGCCCCATGCTAGCCCCAAGGCAGGACTGCCTGCTCTCAGAAGGGGGTCAGCAGCAGTCACAGCACTTACCTGCGCTGTCAGTCCTTCCCCTCTGCAGCCTTGAGTTTGACCACAGCGAGCCGACACTGTTCCAGGAGGATGCACTTCAAGGCATCGAACAGGAGCAGCTCTGTGGAAGTTTCGGTGTTGCTCTGATGAAGCACTGCTGCAATTTGGCCTGAAAAGATGCTTATTCCTCCCAGCAGGGCCACTGGCACCCATTTCTTTCAGAGGAGGTCAGTCTGCTGAGAGCCAGGAGCCCTGGTTTTGTTGCTGGTGGGGAATGAATGGTCCCTTTCATGCCCCAGGACCTCAGCTCAGTGCTTTGCCTCATTCCTACTGAGTGAGCTAGAATCCAACCCTTGCTTTCCCTTGGACTTCTCGATTGGTTGTTTTTAATTACTGCTTTGTACATGGGGATTATTTTAAATTGAGAGGGGAAACCTTTTTTCTACTCTGTCAGTCTCTTGGCAGAGCACCTGAGTGAGGGATTTGCACCATTTAGTTTATCAGTGGCAAGTCCCTCCAGATCAAGGGATTGGTCTGTCCGTCACCTTCAGCCTTTTCTTGACCACCACAGATTATTGAAGAGGAAATGCTCTATGTAAGCTCTTGTTTGTTTTCCCAGCTCTGTCTCCCATCTGCCGGACTCCCAACTTCTTGGCAAAGCCGTCCTCTTTCTCCAGCTAATGCTGCATGTCTCTGAAGCTGTAATTTCATAAAAACTGATATGGAGAAGTGATCCAGAGGAAGATGGGTTTAAAAATAATTAGAATCACACCAGTTCAATGCCTGACTACACGATTTCTCACGTGGCACTTGGAAGGAGACATCACTGGCCATAAGCACCCACTTACGTCATCCAAAGATGTCTGAGCTGCAAACTTGCTTGTACACCAGCATGATCATGTGTGGGCAATTTTGCTATATGTCAGTTAGCTTGTGCTTCCGCTATTGGCTCTTCAGCTGCAAAATAATATAGGCCATTATAAACTTAATTTAATTTAAATAATAATTTTATCTAGATCTTGCCATATATATGTACTTCATTGTGTTTGCATATGAATTAGTTGTTCTGTAGCTACTTTTTACAGATCCCTTTGAATTGATGCAGGGACTGCAGGTTTCCACAGACCGAAGGCTGGAGCCCACCGCTATTTTTGAGCAAAATGCTGGGCCTGATTTCTACTGTGGCCATACTCTGACCTCATATCACTACATCACTGAAGATTTTATGATAAGAGATGCATGGAAAGGGTTTTTGGCCCTCTGACTCCTACGCCTCTTGGTCCGTGTTTCTGTAGAAGCCATGGAGAGCCAAGACTGAGTTTGCCTTTGAGCATGAGTAGTTGTCCGTAATTTAGAGGCTTGTTACTTGTGTTGTAAGTGTTCAGAGAAATGAGAGGGGAGCAAGGCTGTAGCATGCCTGATGTGGCATTTGTGCAGAGCAGAGGAGCCAGGTCTCTTGAGACTCATCCAGTAGACCCAATTGCCTTTCTGAGAACTCAGAGGAGGTAGGTTGAGATGGGAAGAGTGCCAACAGCTCCCATGGGTTTCCTTTGCTCCCCTCAGTCTTGCCAGGGGTGCTGTGAGCACTTTTAGACCTGTTGTCTCTTCCTCCTGTGAGGGAAGGCACTGCAGTTACTGCCTTATGAGAGTGTTTTAATATGTTGCCCTCCTATGGAGCAGGACTCTGCTGTGTGTTCTCAGTGAGGTGACTGCAAAC